ACATGACCAACCTATGGCCCATGGGCCACACAAAGTGCTGGACAGATACTGATTCATCCCCACAAAGTCATAAACTTTAACATTATATAACTTTTACTGATTTTTTTTCATGACTTGCTTGCATGATGCTTGAGTACAGACTGTAGCAGACAACAGAATACTTACCTGTTTTCGGTAGGTAGAAGAGCCATCTATGTTTTCAAGACGATAGGATGTGCCCCTGACTACCACCCGAATCTTGGGATCACAGGAGAATGGCTAAGCCTTTCCCAGGGTCTTAACAAGCCAAGTTGCTTGGAGAAAACTGCCTTAGTCACTTCCTGATTCTCAGGGACTTCAAGGGCTGAGTTACTCAGAATTGACTGCCTGTCTGCTTTATAGGTCTCAGCAGTGAGTGAGTAGGGCTTCCTTGCTATCTCTGGTATAGCAGAAATGTGGCAGTGTTGCCAGACATTTTCTTTACAAAGCCTCTGCAGATTGAGCTGCTCAGGGAGGTCCACATGGGTTCTTGGGCAGTAGGAAAGTGGGCAGCACCATGTGGCTGGTTCACAGCGACAGGTCTGCTGAGCTTTTAGGGACAGCTCAAACATATCTTCACAGGATCCTGCATTCATAGGGTATGGGACAGGAAGGAGCTCTACTAGATTCTGTGTGGACACAAGTGACACTAAGGTCTGTGGCTCCATACTGTGGACTTCAGTTTATAGAGCACAAAGGAGAACTTCCTTAAGTTCCACAAATCACTGCAGTTAGTACTGAGACTTGAAGTAGTATTAATTGTTATCTTTCAGTTGCAGGATCCAACTGCAGGTCCTATCAAGTGGTATCAGGGCTTTTGGCACAAGTACTGTGATCCAAATTCTATGGGCTGTAGAGATCATCCCTAGGTCTTTCTTCACATGTACAGGTAGCTTGGGCTTGTGGAGTTGGTGTCTACTGTGGATGTATGGGGCATGGGGCAACCTTCCCTTGGTCCCATGGGTTAAGCACAGGTGTTACTGGGGTCTATGGCTTTGTTATTTATGCAGTGGTGGCAACATACCTCGTTCATGCTGAGCAAGTTCTGGTGGGGACAAGGCCTGTATTCTGGAGCTGAAAAACATATAGGCACTTCCTCTGGTCCCCAGGGACAAGCTTGAGTGAAGCTAAGGGTTTAGTACCTAAAGCTGCAGTCCCAAGGCTGTGGTCTGAGAAGGAAATCTCTCCTTGGTCTTACTGGATAAGCTCAGGTGTCAAAGGTGACTGGGGACACAGGTAGCAACACTCCTGGAACTGTGGAGCCTTTTTAGCTCCCAGCGGATCCAGGTGGGTAAAGCTAGAACTTTACAATATGAGCTAAAATCCCATGATTTTCAGCTTAAGCAGAGACCTCCATAGTGTCAGCAAAGCAATAGAAGCTGCTGGTCCTGAAGCTACAAGATGCTCAAGGGGTTGCTTACTTTGTTGTGAGGTCATACAAGCCTGAGGGTTCAGCAGCAGGAATTTAGATTGAGTGTTGGTTGTGTTTAAGTGTATGGGGTGAGAGATTGAGTAAATCCAAAGTGAGTTCCCTGTTTGCAACAGAGGAGTCATTTTTAGACCAATGTGCTCTCCCCAAACTGGATTTAAAGGACTATGGACTTCTGCAGTTAGGACCTCTAGTCTGCTGCTATGATTGGGTTTGCTGGTACTTTCCTGCTTAGATTGTGCTGGCTGTGTTTCCTTCTCTAAGTTGGGGAACTAGAATTGATACTGTGAATTGCTTTGTTCCTTTCTTTAGATTATCTTTTAAACTTTCTAGGTTTCCTATCACTTCTTACTAATTTCCAGAATTTCCCACTCACTTTTTTTTTTTTTTTTCCTTTTTATCGGTACCGGGGATCGAACTCACGACTGCCTGCTTGCAAGGCAGGCGCTTATGCCGCTGAGCTAAATCCCCAGGGCCCCCCCCCCCACTTTCCTCAAAATAATTTTTTCACTGCCTTCTTTGTCCTTTGTGGCAGAAGCATATGCTGGCATCTCTATTACATCTCGGCTCCCTCATTAATCTGGAATTTCCTTGTCCACATTTGTTCTTTGCTTGGTCAGACTAAACTTGATAGGTTCCATTCCTTTTATAAGCTGGACACCTGCTCTCTTTTTAAACTCTCAGTGTTCCTGACTGTGCATTGTACTCTATTCTCTGGAGAAGTAAATGAATTCATCTTGTTTTTGAGTCCTTAACTGCTGTTTGCTCCCTTGTATTAAAGGCTCTCAATACATGCTAAATATGCCTTCCTAAAAGGGAAGTTACATTCTTGCTAGTTGCTTATGAGTTAAATTTATTGACAGTCTCACTAAATTATTATTATTTCTCCTTTATGTTTTCTATCTGTCCAAAATGTGAATTTGTGAATAGGTTAAAATAGAGTATTTCCTGACGATTTTTAATATTTTAACCAGTTTTCCATGGCATGCTCACATTCTTCCATTTTAATTCATTTATGAATATTTATATTATATACAGTCAGCCAAACAAATATATGTACACTTCAGCCGTTCACTATGCTAATAAAAGTTTGGATGCTAATTGCCACTAATTTGAGCATCTTTTTAATTGTAGAGGTCAAAGGAAACCTGTATTTATCTCATGATGACTCAGTAAATTTAGCTTTAAATTTAAATGCAAGATTTTCCTTTCCTGATGTATGCATCTGGAATATATTAACTGTATATTCATAGTTAATATGTCTGCATAAGGTATAAGTATAAATACTGAGTTAACCATTTTTTCAGCAGTGATCTGAAGTGATAATTTGATACAGAGAATCTTTAAGTCTAGCTACAATCAATTTTGTCCAAAAGCTGTCTATTCCTACCTGGGCCAGTTGCATGCTGTATTACTAGTAAGGCACCTGTTATTGCCCTTAAAAAATGACAGCTACTTTAACTTGTTACTTCTACAAAACAAAGTTTGTAACAATTTTGTGAAATAAATTCTTAAATATTTGACAGAATTTTTAAATAGAGACTGCTATTAGAAATATTATAGACAGTCAAACCAGGAGAGACCCTCAAGAATCAATACCAAGGGTAAAAACACATTGCAACTGTGGTCAGAGGGGTATCTGCTGGAAGCCAGGCCTCAAGGTAAAGACAGAATAACCAGACAAATATGTTTCCCCAAAGATACATGCTAATGCCTAGTCCAATAAAGTTTGTATATACATCAATTCACCTCAGTGGGTGAACAAAACTCCTGGATCTATCCCTTCATGGAAAGTTGTTCTTTCCATGTATACTTGCTACATGACTTGCTTCTTTATTGGATCAATATTACCTAAGTGGCTATAATCTTATTGGTTGATCATACCCCACATTGTTCCTGCCCTATGATTTTGCTTCATAAACCTTCCTCTATGAAGTAGGTTCACTGGCAACCCATTCAGGCCCCCTCCTGTTTCTCTCAGGAGAAGCTGTCTCTCCCTTGATAAAATTTCAAACTTTTAACCTGTATTGTTCATTAGAACTCAGTCTTTGATTTTGAGGAACATGGACTTGGTGTATCAGACACCTAGCAAGTTGAGAGCTACATTTATTTCCCCTATATAATGTGAAAGTCCTGTATTATTATAGGGCAATTACACAGCTCTATAATAGTCTTCTCAGCCAGACAGGGTTTTTTTTTGTTGTTGTTGTTGTTTTTTTCACTTATTTAGGATTTTTTTTTTTTTTCGGACTGGGATCGAAATCAGGACTGCGTACTTGCAAGGCAGACACAAGACACTGAGCTAAATCCTTGGCTGTTCAGCATAGTTTTTGAAGAAAGTGGATATACATATCTCAGCTTATTCATTAGACTGTACCAGTGATCAACTATGTCATTAGCAAGTGACTACCCCAATTTGTTTTACTTTTCTCACTATTTTAATCAATTGTTCTAGAGTACTGAATAAATGGGATTAACAAGAACCTTGTTTATTCACTCTTAGGGTGGATTATAAAATCTCTCATAAGGCCTTTGAGTCTCTGCCTAGCAGTGTCTGTATGTGAACACTTCCTCTTACTCAGTGCCGTCTTCCAGCCGATGAACTTCTGTGTCCTGAATACATACTGCCATTTCTCTGTAGTTTTGTGTTCCTTGCTTTTCACTCATCATTTCTCCTTCCTAACACACCACCCACCATAAGCTAGCTAATCTGCTCTTTCATGAATCATCTTAGATATTTGCCTTTGATGGCACCATAACATTCAAGTATGAATGTATGATGGCATCCTAACATTCAAGCAGGCATGTGAAAAGACAGCAGAAAAGGTATCAATTGCCTGTAAATATCCTACAAGAAATAAAATATAAACACAATCTATAAAGGTACTTGAAGTTACTTTATACTGAAAGTAGCATAATTTTAAATGAAAGTTTAGGATAGGGATTTAGCTCAGCGGCACAAGCACCTGCCTGGCAAATGCAAGGCTGTGAGTTCAATCCCTGGTACCAAAAAAAAAAAGAAAAAAGAAAAAGCTTGACATGTAGGGATTTTTTAAAAAGGCACAAATACTTGATCATTAAGACAAAAGACAATTAAAATAGTATTTTTAACTTTTGATCACCTAAAGAAAATTACAGTTCATAAAAAAAGACTCAGAATACCTTTTTAAAAATCAGCCTCCATTATAATTACCATATCAATAAGTGATTTGATGATTCTATATTGAATATTTAGTGTATTTTTCTTGTTGGGCCTCTCCAAAAACTTACGTTAAGTTTGTTTACACATGAATTTCCACACCAACTTCTTGTATTGAGTTTTGTAATATAACTGTGTTCTGACGTAAAGGGAAGCAAAAACCCAGAATTTTTTACATGTATCAACTTACCATAGAAGTCCCCTCTAGTATACCGTCCCTGCTTTTGAATAAAGTCTGAACTCTGATGAGAAGCTACCATCATCATTCACTGAGAATTTCTCTAGTATGAATGATTTTGGGCGGAAGATTAAGATATACCACTTGGCTCAAAGAACCATTTGGGATCTGAAATAGCTTGCAGCAGACACAGTTTTGGTACACAGAGTATGAGGATACTTTATTGACCTCATGAAATCTGGAATAAATACAAAGTTCACCTCAGGCTATAGATTTCTCTATAGCGTGGATCTCAAAAAATATTTTTTAAAAATGCAGATTTCAAAAATACATACAAATGAACAACTCAACTTCCCATCACAGTTGTTAACTCCCTCAATTCAAAGCATACTAATGTTAAACATATTATTAGGGGTAGAATAAAGGGGAATAACTGGCAGTCACTGGTCTTGGCCGTTAATTTAGAGACTTCAGTCCTTACGGGTGTTCTCCTATGTTATATTTGTCATGCACTTCTGCTTTATTGTGACCTTCTCATAAAGACCACAGTTAATTAAATGTCAACTCCAAGCATATTTCTTGGATGCTTTCTAATATTATTTAATCAATAAATCCGGTGAATGTAAGAAACAATAGTATTTATGAACCAGAGAAAGGTGAAGATAACATACCAAAATGAGAGACAAAGATTTGTATGGTGATAGTATTTTAAAGTACAAGCCCTTGCAGCTTCATTTGAGAGTCTAGAAGAACTCTTAATTTCTCTCCAGTATTTTGTTACATTACTTTAGGAATACTTTTGACAAATGGTTCTGTAAATTTATTATATTCAGTAGATTCTCTCTAATATCCATGATGACAAATGAGTCTTGATCTTACTGACAGTAATCCAATGTTTCTTCCTTTCCAGTATTTACTTGAGTATGACGTTTTTGATGTTTAAGAAGGTTTGAACGGTGGTTGAAAGTTTTCTTGCAGTCCTTACATATGAATGGTCTCTCTCCCGTATGAATCATTTGATGTCGTATAAGGGAGGAACTACGGTTGAACGATTTTCCACAGTCAACACATTGATAGAGATTATCTCCAGAATGGAGTCTGTTTTCACTCTTACAGAAGGCTATTCCAGATGTATTTTCTTCAGAGGCCTTTGCTCGCATATGAATTTTTTGATGTTTTGTAAGGCTTGTGTGTCGGTTAAAGAATCTCCCACATTCATTGCATCTATAGGGTTTCTCTCCAGTGTGAATGATCTGATGTCTAATGAGGGATGAACTTCGGCTAAAGGCTTTCCCACATTGATAACACTCATAGGATTTCACTGTAATATGCCTTTTGTTGGACTGAATAATATGTGTATTAATGCCCAAGGCATTTTCACATTCATTATATTCTGAATGTGGCTTATTCACAGAATCTGAATTAAACTTGAAATTAGTTGTAAACTTATGGCCATTTGGGAACCTCATTTCTGTTGATGTTTCTGGTTGTATATCCCAAACAGAGTTAACTGACATAAAGCTTTTCTTATTGTCATTATATTCAGAGTCCCCTTCCTCACTGTAGACTGTCATATGAACAAAATCTTCTTGTGGCAAATTTTTGTCTTGCTTTTCCTGGTTCCTATGAAACTGATCCTTATCTCTCCATTTGCATAAGGAAGGATGTACATTTTTGGCAGTCACTGTCATATTTATCCCATGAGATGATTCTTCTAAAGAAACATTTTGCTTTAGAATTGAATCTTGGTTTTGTGAAATAGTGTCCATGTCTAAAAAACTTAGACATACTAAATGACAGGAAACCACTTAATGAGGAAAGAGAGATGCAAGTACATAAACATTTATGCATGTGTCATGGGTCGTAAATACTGAAAGAAAATGTTACATGAATGTGATGAATTGCAAAAAAAGAAACTTTGAAAGAATTAAACAGAAATCTTAGAAATAAGGAGTTCACTAAGTCAAATAAAAATACAGTTGAAAGTCTCAAAAACCGATTAGAACAAGTGAAATTATGAAGTCTGAAATTGAATACAGCTCTTTTGAACTATTCATGTCAGAAAAGGAAAAAAAGAAAAAAATAGAAGATTAACTAAAAAGAACCTTCAAGAGCTATGGGATACTACTGAAAAAACATTCATGTTTCTGGAATATCAAAGCCAAGGAGCAAAAGTTAAAGGCACAGAAAATCTATTTAGTAAAAGAATATCAGAAAATATCCCTCTTTTGGGAAAGATATGAACATCTACGTGCAGGAATTTTACAGAATCCCAAATAAACATAAACCAGAAAAGATCTTCACTGTAGAATGTTAAAAAATGTCAAAGGCCAAAACAATGAATTTTAAAATCTGCAAGAGAAAAGTGCCAAGTCACATTTAAAGTTACCTCCATCAGACAAGTAGCAGACTTACCAACACAAAGTTTATAAACCAGGAGGAAATGGAATGTCATATTCCACAGTGTGAAAGAAAGTAACTGCCTACAAAGAAAACTATGCCCAGCATAAGACAAGCAAAGATCGCCTAAGACAAACAAAACCTGATAGAATTCATGACTACAAGACAGACCAGTCTTCAATGGATCTGAAGGGATTCCTGCATCCAGAAGTGAAAGGAAGATGAATATCATCACAAAAGTATGCTAAAGCATGAAATTATTAGAAAATCAGAAAAAAAGAGAAGTAGAAAATAATGAATAATCAGTACAATAAACCATCATCCCACAAAGATTAAAGTGGAAGAATAAAAACATCTAGAAGAAATTCAACAGAATGGTAAAAAATAAGTCCTTACCTTTCAATAATGGCCTAGCATGCAAATGAACTACATTACTCAATTAAAAGACATAGATTTGCATTTTTAAAAATCCAAGAATATGCCACCTGCAGGAAACTGACTTTATCACTAAACACTAAAGACAAAGATGAAAAGTGATATTTCAGGCACATGGAAATGAAAACCAAGTGGTAAAAGTTGTTCTTGGGTCTGACAAAAATAGATAGTTAGATGAAACCTGCACAAAAAGATAAAGCTCACTATATAATGACCAAAGGATTAATTCAATAAGAAGCTATAACAAGTGACTGGGAATGTGACTCAGTAGCAGAGTATTTGCCTGCCATGCATGAGGTCTAGGGTTCAGTCATTAGCACAGTCAAACAAACAAACAAACCAAAACAGAAAAAAGATATGATGGTAAACCTTTATGTACCTAATGCTCAAACACTCAATAAAATAAATATGAAATCCAAAAGAAGAGACAGATTCTGATACAGTAATAGTGGAGGTTCAATACCCTATTTTCAGCAATGGACAGATCAGCCAGTCAACAATATAACAAAGAAACATCAGTTAAATTATACTGTGGATCAAACGGACCTACAGAACACAATCCAACAACTGCAGAATACATATTCTTATCTGCACATGGAACTTAGCATAGACTATACATTAGGCCAGAAAACAAGTCTTAATAATTTTTTTTAAAAAACCAAAACCTAAGAAAACTTCCTCTGAAATCATATACTATAACATTTCTTACCACAATCGGTAAAATTAGAAGTCAAGAACAGGAGAAACTCTAGAAATACAAATGGAGATTGAATAACACACTTTGAAAAAGTAGTGTGTCATTGAGGAAGTTAGAAGGAAAATTAAAAATCTTCTTGAAACAAATGAAAATGGAACCACCTTACTAAACCTTGTAGGATACAACAAAAAGAGTACTGAGATAGAAATTCAATGAGTAGTACCTATATAAAAAATATATTTAAAATAACCTAATATTGCATCTCAAAGATTTAGAAAAGCAAAAACAAACCAAATTCTAAATTAACAGGAGTCATTAAAGATCACAGCAGAAATTCCATATTAAAAAAAAGTAGACAAGATAAACGAAATCTGAAAAAACTAGCAACATGTGCTTAGCTATACTAACTGAAAAAAAGACTCAGAAATGAAAGAGGAGACATTAAAACTAGTACCACAGAAATACAAGGATCATTAGGAAAAACTACAAATTGGAAAACACAGAATAAAGTATGAATTCCAGGATATACATGAACTACCACAATTTACAAAGAAATAAAAAACCTGAATAGAACAATTACAATACTAAGGTTGAAACAGTAATGGGAAGCCTCCCAACAAAGCTCAGAATCAGATGGCATCCTTGTTGAATTTTACCAAGTTAAAAAAAAAAAAAGAACTAAGTGTCAATTCTTTGTAAACTATTTCTCAGAATTGAAAGGAAAAGAATCCTTCCAAAAACAGAAAAATCAAGCTGCAAACAAACAAAAACTACAACAAAAGCAAAATAATAACAATAATGATAACAAAACAATAGCAATATAAGATTTCAAACCAAAAATGACAGGAGTTTAACAAGAGTTGTTATATTGCACACTGTTATCTTCAAAATAGTTGCTCACGTTATCAGATACAAGCATGCAAAACTGATCAAACCATGTAATTTCCCTTTGATCAGTCTTTCCTTACTGTATCGATTGTAACTTTTGAATCTTATTTACTCTTTCAGTTTCTTACCCTAGCAAGACAAAACAGTGTTTACACATGCAAGTCTGATTTATTTCACTTATGAGCAGCATTATCTTGTTAACAAAACTAATCAAGGACACATACACAAGTGAAAACCAAATACTAATAAGAACACAAAGGCAAAAATTCTCCACAAAATTCTAGCAAATCAAATTCAACAGCACATAAAAAGCTCATTTATCCCAGTTGGTTTCACCACTGGGATGCAAGCATAGTTGAAGATTCACAAATCAATTAACATAAAACAAATCCATCAAATGAAAGATAAAAATCATATGATCATCTCAATAGATGTAGAACAGCATTTTATAAAATTCTGATCAACTTAGTAGATACAGAAAAAGCACTGAATAAAATTCAACATTTTTTCATAATAAAAATTCTGTACAGAATAGGTATAGAAGGATGATATATTGAATAATAAAAGCTATATATAATAAACACAGGTCACCATCATACTGAATGGGGGAAATCTGGAAGTACATTTTCCAAGGAACAAGGTAAGAGTTATTCTGAGCCCTTTAATTCAATATATGCCACTTAATTAGTCATCATATGCCACTTAATTCTAAGTGGCTAATGAGAGCTTCTCACAGCATGCCAGTATCAGTGTATTTAAACAAATGGCCGCTGACATCCAAGAGAAAGAAGCAGAAGCTGCCAGTTCATTATAAGTTGGACTAGGAAATGGCAAAGTATCATGTATCTGTATTTTAGTTATTAAGCTGTTTTACTACTGCCTGAGATTCAAAGTGAAGGAAAACAAGGTCTACAACTTTAGGGGATGAGTGAGAATGATTTTGTTACCATCATTAATAAATCATAATTTTTAAATTATTTAGGAAATTAAATTATGCTTACTGAAGTAAATGCCAAGTTGCTTAAGGTATCATGTTTAAATGATGAAATCAGAACAAAATCAGGGAATATGTTTTAGTTTTAGGATGGAATGATTCTTACCTATAAAACTGACAGTCATAAAACAGTGGGGTTACAATGAGATGTACTTGTATGAGAACAAGTTTAAAAATATGTATGCAAGACTTATTTTTATACTGTTTGAATAGGCAATTACGCAAGGTACTATAATACATAAAAAGAACAGGAAAATGACATATTTCTGGTACATTTTGGGACAAACCTTGAGAATATTCCCACAATTTATAAAAAATAAAATCTTCTGAAATCACAGATGTATCATAAAGACATGGCTTTTTAAAAAAAGACAAAACTCAAGCCTCTGGACATTATGGCATATGCCTGTAATCCAGAACTCTGAGACGCTGACGCAAAAGGATTGCAACTTCAAACCCATACTGGGTACTTAGCAATATCCTGTCTCAAAATAAAAAAGGACTAGGGATGAATCTCAATGCAAAGGTCTGGTATCATGCAAAAATGAGAACAAAAGCCTCAAACCAACATGTTAGTAATGTGTAGCTCTAAGGAATGAAGTAATGGGTGAATTACATTCTTCTTCATACTATTCTGTGCTTACTAACATTTATCTCAACTTTATATTCACTTGCAAAGTGTCAATAAGAACAGATTATGAGGAGGGTAGGGAGTTAATGCATAAAAGGCTATACAATCAAAGAAGGAAAAGTAAAAGATTATTCAAAGCTACCTTAGTATAAAACAGGTTTTCTTCTGCTTCAAAAAAAGAATAATGTTCAATGTTAAGCTAGCTAATGTATGCTTATTTAGCTAGACAGTGTTCTCAGGGTGTTACATGCCTCAACTCATTTAGTCCTCACAGTAGGTACTTTAAAGTTATAGGTAAGGAGTTGTCCCAAGTCACATAGCTTGAGTAACTATTTGTGGGCCTAACCTAGGGCACTATTTTACTACATAAAAAAGAGCCTGTGAACAAAAGGCAATGATATTCATTTCTCTTACCCCCTCATAGTTTAGGTATTTTTGCTGTCACCTCCACAACAAATAATTCTAACAGTTAACTTCCTACAAATATTTTGTATTTGCCTGGTTCTTACCCACAATGGTCCTTCTTGGGATTTCTCCTTCCATTATCCATCTTTTTTTCTCACTCTGCAAGTCAGGGATCTCAACTGCTTTGGAAAATAAGTGAGCTGTTAGTTGAGAAAATCAAATAACAACAAGAAACCATATACATTTCATTTTATTTTTTTATTTTATTGGGAAGAGAATTCCATTCCAATGCAGTAGGCTAAACTACTGAACACAAGGCCAAAAAGTGCCACGGACCTGTGTATTTCTGGCTCTATACCAAGAAGGACTTTCAACTCGACAGAACAGGAAGATCTACTGTTATAAAACCTGAACATAGAGCCAAATAAACATAACAGCTTCAGCAGTTCTAATTTTAATAGCTGATTCTACTAGTAGACAATGTAGATAAATGTAGTCAGATACCACCTTTATGCAGTGAACTCAGGTTCCTGTAATTCTCCAGCATCACATTCCTGTACAGGTTCTTTTCAGCAGAGTCCAGTTGTCCCCACTCTTCCTCACTGAATTCCACAATCACATCTCTGAATGTTACTGGTTCCTAAAACATTAAGTTCATTGTAAGTAAAGGTCACTCCTAAGAATATTACCAGAGGTAGAATAAATTTGGAAAAAATACGATGGGAGCCAGAATATACAAGAAATTGATAGGACAATTTTTGGGTTGAAAGTAATAAAGAAGAAATTATATTAATTGTAGTAAGGGCCAGTCAACTCTCTGACAATTGCAGAATGGAAAGGACACCCAGTCCGTATTCCATCTACTTGACTTTGAGAAGAAAAGAACAATTAAAATAACTGGAATAAAACAATCTGAGAAAGCACAAGGAATTTACAGAAAAGGACAAGAAGAGTTAAGGTATATTTAAGAGAAATTTGTATGAAAATGTAGGCTCTGATGAGAAAAAGAAAGGACATTTTCTCTAATTCAGAAACATAGCCTGTTCTCTTATCATCAGACCTCATAGTACAATGTCACCTCATCAGACAGGCAAGACTGATGATTACTGATTAGTCATTAGTATGTTAGGCTCCATTCATTTGTAATAATTATTTCTATTTGCAGTGATCTTATTTGCTTTTATTTGACTGTATGCTTCTATCAGAATGTTATTACCATAAGGCAAAGACACTGACATTATTAACATTCATAGCTGTCAGAAAAGGGTCTGGCACATTAGGCTTAAATATTTGTTAATAAGTAAATTCTCTCACCTCACGTTATCAATTGGTTCACTTCTCTCTCCTGAACTTTCAACGTCGCCTTTATCTGTGTTTTTAATCACACTGAAATATATAAAATTCTTTCCTTTTTACCCTTTCAAGTCAGTCTCTTAAAGTTGCCTACATTTGTTTTGTCTATTTCCTGATCTTCTCTTTCTGCAACCCAAGGCTACCTGGCTTCCCTCCTTGTGCATTTTAGTGAGTATACACTACTTAGGTTGTATTATTTTATTTTTGAAAATATTTTTTTTAATTTCTCATAGTTGGTTTTAGTGATATCATATTTCCTACTTCCATCACTGTTTCTTTCCTTTCAGTATCCTTTGATTTTTTTTTTTTTTTTTACTCTTGCTTAGTAAATCACATTGATCAGGATTCTATTCATGGGTCTGCTTCACTTTTAGTTCTAAACATCCTATGGTAAGGCTCAAGCTTCAATTATTGTGTATATTCTTTTCTTCTTTGGTACCAGGGATTGAACACACAACTTCACACTTGCCAGGCAGGTGCTGTACCACTGATTTATGTGCCCCGCCCCTATCATCTATATTCTTGAGGGAGCAGGTTCACACGGACTACAAAAGGCTAGGACAAAGTATTTTCCATAGAGTCTATTACCAACGAAAATAGGTATAATGTTTCATGAGAGAATAAGTGACTCGAGCATGCCCTTGGATGGAACTATGTTTGACAAAAGTTAAAAGGCAAGTAAAAGCAGGTCATATTCAAAAAGAATACACATTCTAGCAAAAAGTGGGAACCTAACTCACTTGAGGCTTGCCTATTAGTGAGTCAGCTTTCCTGTTCTCCTCCTTGGTGTCGCTCTTCTGAGGGGAAGAGTCTTTGAAAGGTATACCTGAGTAAGAAGAGAGAAAATGTTAGGGAGCCAAGTTCTGCCCTGGAGCCATTTTTGATGATTACAGCAGTGGATTTAACATAGGATTCATACAAATCACCTATGAATGATTAGAACTCTGAAAAAATAATGATGTCAGGTACTATTAGAAATGAGAATCTAATTATTAAGTACTATTGTTTTTTCATTATAGATGTCCCACAGGGACTTCCAATTCAATATACTATGTGGTTAATGTATTATCCCTTCTACATAAACACAAAATTTGGTTCTTATATCCCATTCATAGAAAACATGAGTTCACACCAAATGGTATTCTACCTACACCTTACAATCAGCCAATAATTCTTTTAGGTATGAACTACTCTATTTTGCTAATGATCCCTCATTTCCTATTATAATAGCTTAAATGGTTTCCTAATTTCAGAAGCCTCAGCTCCATCCTTTTCATGAGAAGTTGGTAAAATTTCTGCATAGGGCTACATGGTAAATATCTGACACTTGCAGGCAATAGTCTATTGTGCAACTACGCAGCTCTAGTCATAGCATGAATACATCTATTGACCAAATATAAGTTAATGGACATGGCTATGGTCTAACAAAATTTATTTCCAAAATTATTTGGCTCATGGGCCAAATCCTGCTCTAGACTGATGTATATTTTTAACAGGCAAATCAAACTGTGCGAGATCTAGTTCTGTATTTTCATGACCTACAGAATAAAGTTCAGGCTTTCTGCTGCAGTAACTGAAAGACCTTCATGACCTGGCACTTGATACTCTCTAGCTTCAGAAAAAGATAATGTTTTTTTTTTTTCATACTTTTCTACAGTCTTACCCTTGTTTTTGAGCATTTCAATGACATCCTCTATGAAGGTCACCACATCTTTGCTATCCTTCAGATGGTGTAAATTTACCCAAGTCCTGAGTTCTTCAGGGAGGATTGCCAGGAACTGTTCCAGCACTACCAGTTCCAAGATCTGTTCCTTTGTGTGAATTTCAGGTCTCAGCCATTGAAGACAGAGCTTCCAGAGTTGGTTCAGGGCTTCATGGGGCCCAGAGGCTTCGAAATACTGGAAATGTCTGAACTTCTGGCGAGACACTTCAGAGTCATGTAAGTCTATAACAGGGAGGCTCTCCTGCTGCCAAGACATATCTGCTCTTAAGACCTCACTCTGTTCACACAGAGCCAGGTTTTGAGGTTCTGAGACAGTGACGAACTTGTTCAGAGGCTCCATCTTCCTAAACCAAATGCCCACTATAGTTCAGATTTGTCCTGCTAAGGGATTGCAGTACTTCTCAAGCTTGGACTATACACTTATTTACTATACACATTATGCTCTGCATCAGTTTATATGATACTAAGGAGAAGAGTTCCAGAAACTTCAGACATAAATCCAAAATTCAGCATCCTGAGAAACTGAAAACAAATCAAAATAAAACAAATTTGACACACAGAAAAATAAACATCTATTAGCACAGAGTTAAAAAATAAAATTGTATAATGATCATAAAATTTCCTAACAAAAATAAGTACTTATAGAGGTTTTTTGGGTTTTGTTTTTTGTTTTTTTTGAGACAGGGTATCACCATGCATTTCAGGCTGATCTTGAGCTCATTTTGTATCCCAATGTGGTCTCCAAATTGCTAGGATCTCCTGTCTCAGCCTCCAGAGTGCTGGGATTATAGGCATGCACCACCACACCTGGCCTTAGATTTCATTTTTGTTTTTCCTTAAACCCAAGTACAACTAGTACAAAACAAGCACAATGCTATAGAAAAAGAATCATAAAAAAATCAGTAAACAAAATGACTACTTAAAACCTGCTGGTAGAAAACTCTCAAGAAGAGGTAACAAGTCCCAGCAAAAACCTGAACTATGCCTACATACTTTTAAAAAATATTTTTATCATAAAAAGCAAAACAGAAAAAAGGATAGAAATGATACAGAATTTTAAAATTAGTAGGAAATTAACATGACAATATGCAGCTAATGTGCTGCATACTGTTATCTTAGAAGTAGTTGTTCAGGTTATAAGCTTTAGGCATACAAAGTGATCAAAAAGCAAACAATGACAGCACAAACTGTTCTTTTTGATGAACTAATAGAGATTAGTAGTACAGTTCTCTATCTTCCCTGGTCATTCAGGGAATGCAATTAAAACAACACTGAGATTGCATCTCACTCCAGAAAGAATGGCTGCTATCAAGAAATCAATGGATAACAAGTGTTTGTGGAGCTGTGGGTAAAAAGGAACTCTTTAACATAAAAAGAGACAGAAAAACTCACAGAGCATATGTCAAAAGCAAATTAAATTAAATCAAAAGGAAAAAGTAGAAATAAAAGGAAACACCTAAGAAAGAAATGATTGATTAAAAAATCAAGATAGCTATGGTAACAATAAATATACTAGATAAAAATTTAAACTCAACTACATAAAACTTGAGAGACATCCCAAAATGAATAAAAAGCTTAAAGAGGATGATCTAAATCTTATCAAGCAAATACGTCATTATATGTATTACACATACTTAATATATTAGGGGATATAGTAAATATATAATGAATTAATAGTAAGTTAGATGAAAGAAGCAGTACAACTCACGAAATATAACTGTCATTAATCAAATTACATACTTGAAAGAAAATTATACCAAGTCTCAAAAAACCAAGAAAAGAAAACCGTAATATAACAGAAATGACAGATTAGGCAACTTTCTAAATCCTAAATATTCTACATTAAAATCTACAGAATAGTTCAAGTTCTGCTGTTAGTGGATGACAAAGCCTTCCTTATACATAACTAACAAAACATAGATGATTAACCTTTCAGCTCAGGAAGTGAGAAGAAGCAACGAAATCTTCTGGAGGAAATTTTCAGGTTAAAATCATAAATTAAACTAATGAATTTTTCAGTGTACATAATTGTAAAGTTAAGAAAAATAAGTAGAGATGATCAGGATGATATGAATGCACCTAAGATTTCTGAGGAGAAACAGTTTAGAATAACAGTTTTGAGGATAGAGGGTTTACGGTATATAGGCATGACTGAATAGCTTTAGTGGCCAATTAGCAATGGACACTGGAATAAGCACAGCCCCAAACCGCTAACTTTAAACGTTATTCTCTGAGTCTCTGAAGGTGAGACTTAGAATAACGTTAAAAACGTCCCTCCCTCTGGGAGGGACCAGGGCTGCGCAGTTTAATAAAAAAGTTAGCTTAATATAACCAGGTGCCGTTAGTTTGATGGATCTTATGGCCTTAAAGATCTTGAACAGCTGCTAAGTATGGCAAAAGGAGAGTGTCTGTAAAGGGGGTTGACTTTAATAGTTTAGGTCATGGGTAGGGTAGAAGCTTAAAACAGGAAGAGCCTTATGAGATTAACTCAGGTAAATAAAAGTTTGCAAATTAGTGTTTGAAATACATAAGGGGTTTTACCTGGAGGCTTTAATGTTTTACAGAGGTGGTTAAGAATGATTGTGAAAGCAAAGCAAGAGGAAATTAAAGGAAAACTCCTCTGTCTTTCCCAGTTGATCTGTCCAGTCACAGCTGGTATTTCCCATAAAGCTCCACACTAGCCATTCCAGATCATCTCATCTAGGATGGTCTACGCATCTGGAGGATGGGCCCGGTACAGAACCGAAGAAGGGGCAGCAGTGAAGCCAAATTCCCGGCTCAGCAGAACTGGATCCAGATCCAGTTTCGGATCCTAGCCCCCTTAATCTCGAGCTCTGTTCTTTCCCCAGCCCATGCGGCCCTCCCTGTACTTCCCGTCAGCTCACCCACCTGGATTCCAGGGCAGAGTCCGCGAAGAGCAGAGCTGGAAGCCGCCAACTGCCAGCAAGCTGAATCTGTGCATTCAGCGTGGGCCCCCTCAAGCGTGATTCCAGTTCTGCGCACTCACTTCCCCAACTGCCCGTGACCCAGGTGATACTTGTGAGCACAGTTGTTATCCAGGGCCTGGTGCCAGAGTCGAAAAGAGCCGCCGAAGTCACCGTCCTGCCTGCTGGAAGAAGCTGGCAGTTGACAGTCCCAGGGACCAAAGAACCTTTGGCCTCACAGGGACTTCAACCGATCCACTAACTGCCTTGGCACAGTTTCACGCATGCGCACCTGGAGAGGAGGAAGCCCCCAAAACCCCTCCAGGCCAGCTCCGGATTAGGGCCTAATTGGACCGCCCCTTTCGCAGACCCCGCCCCTCCTCAGGCCCCGCCCCTTTCTGCAGGAACCTGATAAGATTAAACTCTTTGATCTGCTAAAGGATTCAGGTCTTTGTTCTGGTGAATTGAAAGAAGGCCACAGACTCAGCAACTTCTTTCTCCTGGGGAAAACTCACCAAAAATTTTCCTTACTTTCTACTTCTCCCACTCCCATTAACCTGGAACCCTACAGAACTGACACAATTTCAAAAGCTATTCTTTACTGATTTATCAATTTACTGATTTGTTCAGTTTTTCAACGAGGTAAAATATTTTAAAGATCTGAGTTCAGTTTTGGCTTCCTGGTTGTGAAGTATCATGAAACATTATCTGTTAGGCATTTGGATTTTATAATCTGGAGACCAGAGTTGTGATAGATGGTAATTCTAAGAGTGAAATGACATTGATGGAGCCTGGGGAAAAGGCTGGGATTTGCTTTGAGGAGTATCCATAACATTGTTTGAGACAAGAAATTTTCAAGTTGAAACCAAAAATTAAATGTATCTGCAAAGTCAATGAGGATAAGCCTAAAATGCAGGAGTTCTAGTAGATGTGAGGACTAACAAGGAAAGAAAGTGTGTGTCACAGAAGAGGGAATGCCCAATAGTATTGATTACATGGTAATATAACTAGCGCTTGAATAGACAGACATGTACATAGTGGTGTAAGAGTAAAACAAGACAGTACAAAGTGATTAGTCAGGGAAGCTTTAAATCTAGGCCAGGAGTTGGTGAAGATAAAGGAAGATGAGAAGTAGGGCCTTTTTCCAACCTACTTTGGACTCTTCACTGTCATAAATTATATGTTATTTGCATTTAATTATCATCATAACAATAATGGTAGACATCTTTCATATCATTTGTTAATATGAAGAGATGAAAAAACAGAGTTCAAGTTCAGATTTCTTAATACTTGGTCTGTTGCTAGATGTACTGTGCTTCAAATTTAGATAACCATTATTAAGGTTCTGAGATTTCTAGAATATTTTCTGGAATCAGGGGTATGATGAGTGACACAATAAATTGATAGGGGTTTGATTTTTATAAAAGTCATATTTAACTAGTTAGACAAAAACTTTTAACTTAAAAAGGCTCAAGCATCCTATACAGCAAATTAAGAGGTAAGAGAAAGGAAAAAACACAAGGAATGGGACTTATTAGACTTCCTATCAAGTCTCTTGTAAGTATAAAGTTTGAGTAGCTATCCTAAAAAATTCACTGAAGATTTGACACTGCTAATTAAATAAGGGTTATTTTCAGGTCATTAAGGCCTCATTGACAGTCCAGTTATTTTTTAATGGTACAATTTTATAATACATATATATTATATAATATATAATAATACTATATATATATATTACAATATAGAACCATTATAAAATGAAGGACTCTCAAGCCATATGGGACTGTTTAAAATGCATAAACTTGTTTTTGCGAAAACTCTATTCGCTGTTGTTAACATGAAATTCTGGATTAGAACTGGTCTTCATTAGATAAGATATAGACAAGATCTGACCTGACATAAGCCAAGAGTTTTTCTTGATGACTTATTTATTCACTCAGCAAATTTTTATTGAAAACCTAGTATGTGGCAGATACTATGCTAGGCATTAGAAGTATTGGTAATGTACTAGTAAGTGTGACCAGAAGAGGAGAGCCTTATCATTCAACAGAAGTATTCTCCATGTTAAACTATTGTTTTTCTTCATGTTTTGTGTGCTATCCTCAGAGTATTGCATTGTATAGATCATGAGTTACATTGGGTCAATCTGGAACTTGTAGATAGTAAAGATATTAGTGACACTGATTTGGTTTCATAGGTTATGTGTCATGGAAATTTGTCAATTTTTTACTTCTGCTCATCTTTTCTTTATAGTCTATGTGAGTCTTCGAGAGTGGTGGGAAACTTTCCCCTTGCAAATAGGTTAACAATACCAAAAATTCAGTTACTTAGTCTCTGTTCCAGTGACATAACAACATATTACTTGGACTCAGTAAATTTGAGACATTTCAAATAGATTTTAAATTAAATCTACTATATGAGAAAACAACAACAGCATTTTTCTTTATTAAAATGGGTTTTTTACAGAATTTGTATAAGAACAAAAATTGAGACTATAGTACAGATTTCTCATAAACCCCACAATCAGTTCTCCATTACTAACATCTTATATTATTTGGCTGTATTTGTAACAAGTAATAACTTTGCTAGTCTTATTACCTAAAATCCATAAACTTTATTCACATTAGTTTATATGGTTGCTTGTTTTATTTTTTATCATTTGTGTATTTTTTCTGCTTCAGGTTCCCATCCAGGATACCACATTTTATGTGACCATTATATCCTTTTAGGTTTCCCTTGTCTGTGATGGTTTCTTGCTTTTCCTTGTTTCTGATAATGTTGACTGTTTTGTGGAGTTCTGATCAGGTACTTTTCAGGCTCTATATTGGAATTTGCTTGATATTTTTTCACAATTAAGCTGAGATTACAGGTTTTGGGAATGAAGGTCATAAGGATGGAATGCTATTTTCATTATAGCATATTAAAATTACAAACTATCAGCATAACTAGTCAGCAGTGGTTTAACTGGTAGTGTTTGACAACAAATGAAAAACAATTTCCCCCTTTCTTTCTTGAAGAACCAGCAAATACAGCAATACCAGCTTCCAGGCTTAGTGGCTACAGCAGCATTATCCAGTGCTTGTGGCATGGTGGTGTTGTCTGTGCAGATTGTGCCATCTAGTGCTGAATGGCAGTCATTTTCTCACAGACTAGTTTTATTACATGAATTTGACCTGTGGTTCTAGCTGCAGGACCAGAACTGGCATTATTTTGATATTCCTTATTTTTAGCTTAAACTTGCATGAAAACACTCTAATCGCCCATTACTTTTATTATCATTTCTGGGTGCACATAATAAATATTTTTATTACAAGTTTGCTGTACCTTTATTCCTTATCTCCCTCCATAGCAAGAGAGGTGGTTGTTTCAAGCAGGCAGGTTTTTATTGGTAATGTGAAGCTCCACTGGCATGGTTTTTTGTGGATGAGTGTGCCTCCGTATAAGTTATCCAGTGCTGCATAAAAACACTTCAAATATATGTACCTATAAAACAATCACTACTTTCTGTTGTTCAGGATTCTGCAGGTTTGTAATTTGTACAAGGGGGATGACAGTTATAAGTAATGGCAATATTTAAGATATGACTGTGGGAGTGAATGGTTAAATTATCAAAGAAGTGGGATCCATGAATATGAGGATTCAAAATACTTGGACATTACATTCAATGAGAAAATTAAAACAATCAGGATGTATTACAGGCACCGTAAGTAGGCTGGGCAGAATGTCAATGAACTAGGAACCAAAGGCTTCAAGGAAAAAGAATGACTCAGGAACCAAATATAAAAATTAAAAACCTCACCATTTTAGTTTTCAGCCTTATTTCTTTCTTCTCTTTCATGCTGAAACTTCTCCAAATTACTGCCCACACTTTCTGATTCCATTTTCTTATTCTGCATCCCTTCATTGAAACTGATCTAATGTGAGTGGCAACTAGCACCCAGAGTCACCAATTCAACCTATTCATTCTCTGTCCTAATTATTGGATCTCCACTGGTACATAAGGGTTTTTGCAGAAAATTGTACCCCAGATTGGATTTGGCTATTGTGGTACTATTCCAGTAATTTTAAAAGGATAACAAAAAATTTTAAAAATACACATTAATAATTATGTGTCAGCCATTTACTCAGAGTTGGATAAAATAAAATGAAATAAGAGGACAGTAGCCAGTTTTTAAATGAGTGCATGAATTAAACAAGAAGTCAGTCCAGATTCTAGATGCTCTTCATTGAGGAGTCAATTCTACTGTCGAGCCACTGGGATCTGTAATTTCTGAACCCATTTATGGGAACTATAAAATAATTACCTTAAAACACCCTCTAAATATGTGATTTAGAAACTTCTCTAAACGTGTAGCTGATTAGGAGTCTTGGTAAAAGAAATAAGTAATTGTCAGGCTATTTAGGTGAACTAGAGTTTATGAAAACCTGAAGTGAACTCTGGAATTGGCCTTTCGAAAGATGTTAAGCCATAGTGAGCCTATGGAGAGGTCAGCCTAGAATTGGAAAATTCCAGTTTTGTATACTCTAATTTCTCCCCTACTTTCTAAAGAAATATTTGTTGCTAAATGGGCTCATTGAAAGGAAGATAGCTAGGATGAATATAGAGCATAAAGGTGCATTAGATAAAGGAAGGAATTAAAAAACACACAACTGGGCAATGGACTGAGAACTGAATTTGAACAAATAAACTGAATTCAGAGAGTTGTGATAAGAATAATGAAAATTATTTAATACTTGGGAAAAAGTTGAAGATATCAGAAAACTGACTCTGATTTAACATGAGGAAGACTTAATAATATAAACCGCTTACATATATAAAAGAGAATGATCAAAGAGCCTTATATCATTCCTAGACAGGCAAATGCTGAAAAATTATCCCATAGTCCTCCTATGCAGTAGTCTCATATTGTGGTTGGAGGAAACAGCCACAGAATTCCCTTTATATACCCTGATATCCTATATTTATATGATATTTGAGACTGTCATTTGAATTCATTTTTTGAGTTTCAGAAGAAAATATCAGAAACAATGAAGTGTATGGCCACTGATACCTTACACAAATTGATACCTTCTTGGGTGTAAAATCCCAGTATTAAAGAGTCTTCTAGATATTATGATTCTTTTAACCAGGGTCTATTCTAAGGTTTATATGACTAGGATATCCAAACATGTAATGTCTTTGATGTAAGAATCATGCATGAAATTCATATTAGATATTACTTCGGATTAATCTGGTGAGCCTCATAGATTCATTTGTGTTCACACTTAAGACATGCCCATTGTGCATTCATCTAGACTCTTTACCCCTGTTTGGTGCAGTAGTCTGTCTTCTGTGTTTT